GGGACCCTTAACTCTTCCGGCAGCTTTCTACAGGAGAAGTTAAAAGTGGTGCTGTTTTAAAATGTGTTATGTGATTGATCTACAGTAATACAGATGTAATCAATAAATGCTGGTTTTGTAGAATGTAGTTATTAGATTTTATTTCATAATTAGTGGTCATGTATGATAGTAACTGACATTTACTAAGTACTAATTGCACTCTAGGAAGCCTGGGTAGTGCTTACTCACAATAAACCTGTAAGAGTATAATTATATCTTCATTTAATAGACACAGAAATTGGTGTCCAAGGTCACACTGATACTATAAGCAAAGTGATGGAGGAAGAATTCAAGTGCCGGCATCCTGGCTCCCCTAAAGAGCCCCCCCCCCAAAACAAAAAACACAACCACACCACATTATTGTCTCAAAGGATACTTTACAAAGGTTTTGTTTCTTTAACTTTGTGTATATGACATGTGTTCATGTTCCTAAGTATGACTGGCGCCTGTGTGAGAGAACAATGGTGGGCACTTGGTTTTCATCTTCTACCTTATGTGAGGCAGGCTCTCTCTATTTAGGTGCTCATTGCTTTGTAGGCCAGGCTAGCCCACCTTCTCCCAGGGATTCTCATCTCTCTGTCTCCCTTCTCACTGCGGGAACACTGAGATTTCAAAAATGGTGGATCATACCTGTCTTTATGTGGGTTCTGGGGATCTGAACGGAACCCACGTCCCCACACTTGAGAAGTAAGTGCTTTTACCTACACAGTCACCTCTCTGGCCTCCCGTCCCATTTTATTACATCTTAGTTCATTTATTTTGTATGTGTATATGTGTGGGGGGTGTGCATGCATGTGCAGAGGTCAGAGAACAGCTTTTGGGAGTTGGTTCTCTCCTACCATCTGGATTCTGAGGATTGAACTCAGGTGGTCAGGCTTGGTACCAGTTACCTTTAGCCTTAGCCACTGGGTCACCTCGCTGCCCATCTTACCTATGCCATAGATTGGCATACTTTTTATCTTTTATCTTTGTGTGTGTGTGTGTGTGTGTGTGTGTGTGTGTGTGAGTGGGGAAGCCGTTGGAGGCCTGAGGTGTCAGATCCCGGGAGCTGGGGTTATAGGTGGTTAGGAGTTACCTGACAAGTATGGGAAGTGATCTTGGATCCTCTACAGGAGTAATACATGCCCTCAGTTGCCGCGCATCTCTTCTACTCCAGACTGGCGATTTTAAAAACTGTTGTTAATTTTAGTACATATATTCCTCATTCGGTGTTACCAAGCTTTTGGCTTTGGCCTAGTGCTCCTGTTTATAAAGTCGATGGGAACTGGATCCTCTTAGTTCTGCGTTTAACGCATTGGCTACCATGACTCTCACATCCGTGCTCCTTTCTTCCAGGTATTGCTGTGACAGAGTCACCACATCCAGGCCTTTTTTCCTTTTTTAATTAAACCAACTGGGCATGGTGCTACATGCCTGTAATCGTGGAACTTGTAAGGTGGAGCTATGAGGATCAAGATTTTAAAGTGACCTTCAAATATAGTGAATTGTAGACCAGCCTGGTCCTCGTAAGACCCAGTCTAATAGGCCTTTCAAATTTCATGCTGGTGAAATCTTCACCAGCATGAATACTTGAAGCTCCCTGATGGGATGATGAGCTGAATCTGCTGAAACTATGCTCATACACTATGCTATCCTTAAGTTGCTTGATTTCAACAATCCCCCCTCTCTCCTCCTCTTCTCATGTCCAGGGTTTCACTATGTAGCCTTGGCTGGCCTGGAATTTGCCTGGACCAGGCCTGCTTTGAATTCACACAGATCTGATCCACCTGCCTCTGCCTCTCTACCTCTGAGTGCTGGGATTAAAGGTATGTACCACGATGCCTGGCCAAACAATTTCTTACTAGTTATTACTCACCCTCAGTTGTATGGTAATTTCAAGTCAGCAGATCTTGGGAACATGAATCTCCCTCCCCCTTTCAGAATATAAATACTTAATTTCATAGGTAATTTTAAATTTTATAGTGGATCATTTGTTTATACTGATTTGTTTTCAAAACAATTTTCCAGCAAGTGATAGTATTGTAAGGAGGTATTATCTCTTTCACAGATTTTTTTTTTCCTAAGCACTGTCTTCTCATCATTCAATGGGGGGACATTTTAGGATTTGTTTTCTCATGGAAGGACTCAAACAGATATTCAGAATTCAAAGAGTAGAAGCTTGTCATAGGACTAATGCAAATCACATAACTCCTTTGCCCATTTTATAGAAGACTAAACTGAGGTCACCTAAGTAAAAGTCCCAGGCCATATAGTTAATCCAATTGTCCAAGACCACATAAAACGAATAAAAAACTCAGCCATTTCTAAATCCTAGGCCAGTGAACCTCTGTGTGGAAATATTTAATATTAATTAAGCATGTGTGTACCATTAGGGGTGTGTGTGTGTGTGTGTGTGTGTGTGTGTGTGTGTGTGTGTAGGTTAGAGGACAACATGAAGGGGTTAGTTCTTTCCTTTTACCGTGTAGGTTTTGGTGATTGGATTCAGGATTTTAGAGTTAGTGGCAAGTGTTTTTACCCATGGAGCCATCTCTCCAGCCTCACTTATCAATTTCTTAAAGTTCAACTTACCAATTCTTTTCACAGAGTACTCTTTGTGGTGTTGTATCTAAATGCTTATCACTAAACCCAAGGCCTTCTACATTTTCTTTAGAAAATTGGGTTCTTTTTATGATGTCTTAATTTTTTTGTAAGAACAGATCCAGTACCCTCCTTTCTCCATGCATTTTCCTTAAAATCCTAGTTTAGACAGATATACTTGCTGGAGCAGAAACAAAGACAATAACAACAACTAGCAAGACCTACTCACAATTTTAAAATTAATAGGCATTGGCAATAGAACCGTGAGGTCCAGATCTGAGGGAAAAATTCATCCACTGGTAATCTGCCCTGCTCCAGGGGCTAACCTGACTGAGTAGTGGCCATGGCACTTGCAATTCGTCTAAGCCTCTGCAGGTAAGATGCAGAGCCTGGGAATAGCCACCACAGCATTGCTCATGTTGCCATATCTATATACTGCTTTACTCCCAGACTTTCTGAGGTTGGAGGTATGGGATTCACACTTCCATTAAAAATGCCTACGGGGGCTGGAGAGATGGCTCAGAGGTTAAGAGCACCGGCTGCTCTTCCAGAGGACCTGAGTTCAATTCCCAGCAACCACATGGTAGCTCACAACCATCTGTAATGAGATCTGGTGCCCTCTTCTAGCCTGCAGGCATACATGCAGACAGAACACTGTATAATAAATAAAAAAAAACAAAAACAAAAACCATGGTCTGGAACACATTTATCACAGGGGTTCAGTGAAGACCTAAGGGTGTCCAATCTAAAGGATAAAAGTTGTTCAAATAATAGATGCATTTGAATAGCCACCACAGCTCCCGGGGAGAGGAACCATGATAAAGAGATCATCATATATCTGAAGGATTACCCCGCTGAAGAAAGAACAGAACTGGGATTAATGAGTAGAACTCACAGATATGCAGAAGGTCAGTTTATCACACTCAAAAGAGTAAGCTGCCTAATTGCCAGTTTGCAATCACTGAAATCACTAAACAGAGCTCAGAGCATCTTTGAGAAGGATGACGAAGGACATTCTTTCTGCACTGAGGAAGAGTGGATGGAGTACTTTCTGCTTGTCTCCACTAACATTTTATGGCACATAGAGGACCTAGTTCATAGTCAGTTGAGGGCTTCAAAAGTGCTAGAGACATAAGTAAATTAAAATATCCTATTCTATGTAAATCCAAGATAAAACTTAATATAAGATACAGAAGTAGTCCTTGGACTACTTCTGTTACTACATGTACATGTTGAAAACAAAAACCACAAAAACCTTCCCCTTAGTTCTCCCATTCTGTCCTTCATGCATGTATTTCCCCATGTATTTCCCAGCACTGAACCTAAGTACAAGACAGACAGAGTGCAGAGGCTTCTTTGGGGTCACTCTTTAAGTATAATGTTCCAAAGAAACCCCAAGGAATGGCAGGAACACCAGAGCCTTCTAATTTACAATGTGAACTTAAGACCACTGCATCCATCACAAAGGTGACAAAATGCAGGTAAGCATTCAACAGTAAGAATCACCTGCAACTGTTGCTCAGGGATACTCAGCAGTCACTGCTCACATTCCCAACAATGCCCCAGAGTTGACATTCAAGCACACAGAGGTGGGTCGTATTCCAGAAACTTGCTGTGTTTAAGGGTATTCATCATGCTCTAATTGTGTGGAAATTGATAACATATGCTCAAGTACATAATTAGATCAGTTTAGGCTTTGGCCATCTATAAAGCATACATTTAAATGTGATACTAATAGAATTTAAAAACCAAATTAATTCACTATGGCTTCCAAATATTGTACTAAACTGGTTTATGCATTTATCTTATTCCATGATTTCTACTCTTGGTCTCTTAATTTTTGAACAAATTTATAAGTCATGTATTATTTCCAAAGAAGTCTTTGAAAAATGAAATGTTTAAACAAGTGGCTATTGATTTTCCACCTTTGTATTTACAAGTTGGATCCATTGACTCAACTGGTGAGCCTTTATTACTATTTTAATTCTTACTAGAAACTTGCTTTAACCTTCATACAAGAGTAAGAAGAGAACTGCTTTGTATAGTGCAAGGCATTCTCTGTCTACTTCTGGAGGTTGTAAGTTCCCTTTGGAGCTCTAATGTCATGGTTTCATGATGGTCTAACTTTCTGATAGCTCTGAAGTTATCAGAGAAAAAGTAAAATGCACTGAAATGATGTTTGCCAAGCTTTTATTATGAGGGTTAGGGTTTGCTTAAGGCAAGAAAACTACTCCCCAAGAAATGGTACTGGTTTAAAGAACTAAAGTCAACTAGCAGTGAATCATAATTATGAGGGGCTGGGGAAAGATGGAAGGGAAGGGAAGGATGGATGGATGGATGGAAGGAGAGAGGAAGGGACGAAATACACATTAAAAAATACTTACAGGGACATCAACGTATTTTGCAGCTGCTTTCACCTTAAATGGGAAAGAAAAGGATAACCATGAGAATTCTTAACTGATACATAAGTACTGTGGCAACTGTTAAAGGACAACACAAGAGACCTCATTGAGATACTTACAGTGAATGACAGAATGGATGAAAAGAAAGTGCCTTCGTCATACCTAGACAGCTTAGACAGCACCCCTTCCAGCACGGAGACAAACTGCAATAGAGTTCATGGTGAGGGGTGAGAATGCTCCTGTGCACACAGTAGAAGAATGGGGCACACAATCTATAAACCAACTCTCTCTCTCTCTCATACACACACACACACACACACACACACACACACACACACACACACTCTCACATTCCCACAACAAATACACTGACACCGGAGTTCAGGTAAACTTGTAATGCTTGTTCTATTATTCTGAACACAAGCTCCAAAGATGCTTTCCCATTGCTGAAAACAATACACTACTTTCTAAAATAGAATAGTACATAGCTGTGAATGTAGCCTCAAATTATAAACTTACTTAAAATGTTGCTTTTTTTTTCAACTGAGCCATTCCTGATCATCAGTTTTGTAGATGACAATGTCATGTCACAGTATCATTTTCTCTCTCTCGACACTCCCTGCCCTCATATCTATAACAGGCATTTACCAGACAGTTCTAATCAGGACAGCCAAAGTTCTCACACACACACACACACACACACACACACACACACACACTTTTGCTACCTATGGACTGTGAGTCAGACACCCCTGTAAGCGGCTCAAGAGAGTCCTTCATTCAGTGTGGCCCAGAGAAGCCAAAAGGCTAAACACCCCTGATTTAAGCCATCAATAACTAAGAATCATTTTCAACTTTAATACGGACACTTATAAACAATGACAACTAAACTTAAATATCTATCATGTATGACTTGCCTAGAGGTCAACTTTTTCTACATATAAAGACCAGGCAATAGAAGAAGGGTGTGACATGACGTTCCCGGCTTTTTCAACAGTGGGAGGAATCTGACCCTCTTTCACAAGCATTTACCAGACAGTTCTAATTGTGACACTCAGGGATCATCCCTGCTTCCCACAGATCAGTGCCATGTGGACATCATCCGTTCTACTCATGGCAATGTCGGAGGAGGGAAGGTGAAGGAGTGAAATTCAAATGACTTCAGAAATGTTTCACATGTAGAGAACTTTTTCTTTTCCCTCTCCTCTTCTTCCTCCCCTTCCTCCTCCTCCAAATCCCTCCTTCCCTCCTTCTCTGTTTTTGCGACTGGGTGTTATGTGTCCCCTTCTGGCCTTGGACTCTGCATGTCGGCAAGAATGACTCTGAACTTGTGGTCCACCTTTTGAGTGAGGGATTACAGGCATGCACCATCATGCCCATTTTATTTGATGCCGAGGGTCAAAATCCAGATTGTGTGCATGCTAGGTAAGCAAGCATTCCATCAGTCCAAGCTACATCCCCATCTAGCCTGCCTGCTGCCCTCGTTGGGTCTCAATATGTAGCCCTCACTGGCCTGGAACTCATTATGTAGATCTGGCTGGCCTGAAGCTCATAGAGATCCAGCTGTCTCTACCTCTCAACTGCTGGGATTAAGGGCGTATGTCACCACACCCAGATCTAAAACTATATATAATACGTATATAATATTTTTATTCATGTGTAAAAAAATACATTATTTATTGGTGTGTGTGTGTGGGTGGTCACAGTATGTACATGGAGGTCAGAGGACAACTAATTCTCTCCATTTACCACATGGGTCCCATTCAGAAACCCAATTCAGGTCATCAGGCTTAGCTGCAAGCAACCTAACTTGATGAGCCATCTCACTGGCCAATTTTATATTTGTATAATATAAAAAAATATTAAGTGACATAAAATTAGAAAATCTTATTGAGTGGAAACATGTATCTGACATGAAGATCAGTGGAAAAATAAAGTAATAAGGACATATTACCCTGCTTCTTTCTCCAGCATATCTAAAATAATATGTACTATCAACAAATTACATAATCCCAAAGGGGAAATACTGACAAGGTTTTTTAAATACGAAAAGGGAAATTAACGAAGGCTGGTTTTTGTTCACATAGCAGCTTCTTCAACAAAGTGATAATAGTTCCAGGGACATGGCTTATTAGTCTCTGGTGGCCACAGAACTCACTGTGAGTGCACAGGAGATAATCTCCTCTCTATGGCTGATCAATTACTGCAAAATAGTTTATGCAAAAGAAACAAAAACTTCCCTACAGGCTTCTTCACCACATCATTTGTGACATGATGTAAGAACACAGAAACACAGTCAAACACACGGCAGACCAAAGCTGTATGTCTTGAGGAGAATTCCATTCAGTTGGGTAGCTATCTTCAGCGTTCTAAACAGTGAAAACCACAAAATTACAAATTGCTCAGGATTCAGAGCCTCCTTAATGCTTTCTTCCTGCCCATTAAGCTTTCTTACCAAGCACGACTGACTGCCTAGGTCTACTTAATGTGGTTTGCCAAGACCCAGAAGATCAATTCTCCAGGGCTTTGTCAGACCAGGGGAAGGGAATTCCAGACTTAATGGCCCTCTGTGGAAAATGCCTCATCTCTTATAGCTCAAATCTTGAGAACAAGTGTGTTCCAGGTGATCTTATTTACTGTGACATGAGACAACTACCATGGTTACCTGCCAACCTGAGGCATCAAAGGCACAGTGTGTGTTTAGTCACTCTGCTCACACAGATGAACAGTGCAAGGGCAAGTTAGAGACAAAAATCCTACAGGCAGATGTAGAAGATGAGGAGCCAAGCTGTAGTTCTGCTGCTGTCTGGATATTGGGTCCCTTGGCTTCTCTTGTCTCATGGGGACGATGAAGTTACACAGTTCACTTGACTAGGATGGCACCAAGAACTGTGCAGATCATTAATACGAAAGGATTGAAAATAGCAAATACTAAAGAAATAAATGAAAGAAGGGCATGTCTGGTGTGATTAGTTAAATTAGTCATGACTTTTCTGAATATCCAAATGTGTCAAGTCACGAGTAGGACAGTTCAATGATAAGGAGTAATAATGAGTTTGGCTCACGGACAAGTAGGTCTGAGTCAGTGCAATCTACGGAGGTGTCTAGAGGTGGGTGGGGTTGAGGCTGTCAGACCACTTGAACCCCGGTAGAAAGGCTTTGAAGCTAGGTGTCAATCCTAAGGCCCAGGTTCTTCACCATCATGTCACAGAACAGAGAAAACTGAGATGATCCGGTAAAACATGTGCCCGAGCAGCTAAGAAGTGCTCAATGAATGTTATTTTTGTTACAATTATCATTAAACAACTAAGATAGAAAAGACAAGCATGAGAGCGATCTAGGCCTCTCTTCTCAGGAATGTACAAAGTTATGGAAGAAAAAGTTATGAATACAAATGGGCACAGCATGAGCCCAAGTGGCTTATGCAGCTGGACACACAGTACACCAAACTTGAAAGAATGATTTTGAAGGATTAACAGTTTTTTTTTTTTTTTTTTTTTTTTTTTAAGGTTGGTAACCCCATGGAGGTTTGGACTGCAGGAAGGAAGAAATGGAACTGATTATTAGAAATTAGGAAGCCTCTTGGATAGGAATTGCGGGAAGAAACTTTTCTACTGAGGCAGCCGATAGCCTGTCTTGTCTTCTCTGGATATATAGCACCGCTGGGCTATAGCATAGAGTAAATCCTATGTGTGGGGCACAGCCATGCCATACTCTGTATTCTTTGCTTCTATTTCAACAATAGCAGGAAGCCTCTGTTTGGGTTCCTCCCTGTCCCAAATGGTCCCCAGGGAGACACAAACACTGGAGGGACTCTAAGGGCTTACAGAGATTGCACCCCCGGGATCAACCAAGTGAGCCCCAGTTCCTACAGGAAGGTTTTCTTTGTAGGAGTGTTGTTGAGGCCCTCATGATGGAAAAGCTACCTTCCTAGTCAGACTATTAAAATCAAGATTAGTGATGGCGTATTTTCCATTTGGCTTTTAATTGCACAAAACAGCAAGAATCCAAAGAGATGCAGCTAAATGCTGCGCTTCCTTGCTGCATCTTTAACTGTTTCCTGTGAACTTTCTTCATACAACTCTGGGAGATTATAAATACTTATGGCTTTGCCTTGTGATTTCTGCTCTCCTGAGGGTGTTGGGTTGGAATGAAACACTGCAATTTCTTTGTTTCCCTGTTCTTTATTATGGATGTCATGCACTGGGTTTGTTTGAGTAACATTTAACACTTGGAGTCTGTCTGGGTAATTACTGCCTTTGCCTCATGCTACATACATACTCTCAAGGAAATGCGAGATGAAAGCACTCTCAAATGACTGGTGGGACAAAACATGAGGAGTGCCACAAGGCATGACGCTCTAAATACCCTGCTGAATTTTAAGAGGATATAAGAATTATTGCAACAGGCGGCGTGATTTGTATATTCATAGCAGGGTGCAAAAACCATACATTCTGAGACGTGCTGGGGACCACAGGTGGCTGGGTTTTTCACTCAGCTACCGCCCTTTCAGCCATGAAGTAAACAAGGGGCAGTTGCATCATTTCCATTGCAATTTTAAAAATTTTTCCATGGAAAGGACAGCCATTCATAGGAAGACTGATCACACACACACAAAAGATGCATGCTATTGTGGATAAAAGAGCAAGAGAAACAAAACGATGTTTTGTTCTTAACCAGTATTAAAATTTCACACACAACCAGATGATCAGAGCCTGAAAGGAAGTTTTCTCCCCTCAACAGAATGTCACTAATATGACAACTCTTTCTCTCCTCTTTCTCCAACTGTGAACCAGTTCCTTGATGCTTTGTTGTGACCCTGAACCCATCTTTGTAGACATTGGTGTGAAGGAGGACGGGTAGTGCTTGACAGTATGTATTTATTTGTAAAGTTTCTTGTCCTACAAAGAATCTCTAATATAGTCTGCAAAACAACACACTTAGCCCAGATGTTACCAAATCCCTTCTTTCCTCCTTTGTTCTCCCCAGTGCAGGGCCCTGCCTACTTCTCACCTCCTTGCCAATAGCCCTTAACAGCCTTTACCATACCTTCTAAGCACATACTTGGATTTAATCAGGTACCTTCTGCATTTATGGCCTTGATCCAAAGAAGTAAAATTAATCAAAATCATTTTACCAGTCTGAGTTGGCAAGCTATTATCATATCATCAAGGCAGTCAGGGGACATTTACTCTCGTCCACC